TGGTCGCTTTTTGGTCGCTTTTTGGCCAATAAGCGACCAACTTTGGTCGCTTTTCGTGGTCGCTTTTTGGCCAATAAGCGACCAACTTTGGTCGCTTTTCGTGGTCGCTTTTTTCCGGATTTCTAGTAGTGGAATCTGCTCAGAGGTTGTAGTTCATTGTGTATCGTGCATTGATGAGAATTTATAAGTCCAAATAATTATTTGCATGTTGTACCTGCAGAAGTTTAATTTCCTTGAAATCATTTGGCTATAGCCTTTCTATCAATAACAACAACCCTGTAATATCCAACGTATAGGGTTTGGGGATGATAGTGTGTACCCGGGGGTAGAGAGCACTTGTTTCCGAACTATAGCCTTTCTATCCAACTGCCAACGTATGGAGTTTGGGGATGATAGTGTGTACCCGGGGGTAGAGAGGACTTGTTTCCGAACTATAGCCTTTCTACCCAACTCTAAATTAATCTATGATGAATTGGGCTGTGTAACATTTGGTAGAATTATAAAAGTTTAACTAAATTAAATGGTTTGTGATTTGTACAGTCTTACTTCAGGTTGAGAATTTTTTAGTGGAGGTGCATAAACTAGCGACAGCATGTTGAAAAGTACTTTTCACAAATAGCAAGTATGTTTAAGTGAACTCCAATTTTACTTTTTTTATTCATAAGTTTAATTCCATTCACCACGTCAAACGTAGTTGATAACAACTTTCATTACATGAATTGCAGAAAGTACATCGATGATCACTATTTGGTTTTAGTAATTGTGTCAATACTGAATGTAATATTTATTTATAGCTACGCTATATTTGCTAATTATTTTCAGATATTTGTATTTTATTCCTTCTTCTCCCTGTACCTGTTTTAGTACATTGTATGTTCCTCTCTTGTAATGCTTCATTGCTGGCCATTTCCAGAGAATTGGTATGTAATGTAGCAACTCACTCTTTAAGAATTTTCATATATTTACCATTTAATGTCATTTTGCTCAGGATTCTGATGCTTTGCAGTTTATATTGGATGATCAGCTAATTCTGCTGGACCATATACAGTGAAGTAAAGAGGATATTGTGGGGTCCATCCCCATTATATATATATATATATATATATATATATATATATATATATATATATATATAAAAAAAAAAGAAAGGGGGAAATCTACAAGATTTCAATTGTAGATGGTGGGTGTTGACAATTTGCATTGTGTTATAAAATAAAGACTGTAAAATAAAGACAAGTATTGAGAGAAACTGATATATTATTCGAATTCAAACTAATGTACATAATGAACTGAAATCTCTTCTATTTATAGAAGAAAGGAAGCTGCTACTGCAAGTTGCTGTGAAAGCTGCTACTATACCAAATATGGATAATCTTCTACTGAGAGTAATGTTTATCCATAACGGAGTACTGAAAGGATAAGCTCATTGTACCAGGTATAGATAATCTTCTACTAGGGGTAATGTTTATCTATAACGGAGTACTGAAAGAATAAGCTCATTGTACCCAGTATGGATAATCTTCTACCGGGGGTAATTTTTATCCATAACGGAGTATCGAAAGGATAAGCTTATTATACACGGTATGGATAATCTTCCACCGGGAGTAATGTTTATCCATAACCGAGTACCGAAGTGATAAGCTTCTTCAGGAGGCTTATTTCCAATAGAGTACTAAATAGATAAACATATTTACGGCAGAGTCCCATATGGATAAGCTTCTTCGGGAAGCTTATTTACAACGGAGTACTAAATGAACATCCATAATATATTTATAACACTCCCCCTTGATGTTCATTAAAAGATAATGTGCCTCATTAAAACCTTACTAGGAAAAACCCCGTGGGAAAAAATTCTAGTGAAGGAAAAAGAGTACACATATTTAGTAATACGCATTGCTAGGTGCCTCATTAAAAACCTTATAAGAAAAATCCTGTGGGAAAAAACCTTAGTAAGGAAAAAAGAGTGCATCGCGTATTTTACTCCCCCTGATGAAAACCTTGTTTCAAATATTTGAGTCTCTGCATTCTAATCTTGTATCTGCATAACCAATACGATCTGCACCACCTTTGTTAGCATTAGCAAGATACATAAGTGCATAGCAATTGCACTGAGATAGAGTATTTCAGGACCAAGGAGTTCCTCATCCTCTTCTGGAGGTCGGAATGGATCCTTATTCACTTCAAGTAATCGAATGCCCATTGATGTACTTAATGTGTGCGCTTTGTCCATGTAAAATCGTTTAAAGACCCTTTCTGTATAGACAAATTGATGGATAAAGATCTCGTCTGCTAAATATTCAATTTGCAGACCAAGATAGATTTTTATTTTTCCAAGATCTTTCATCTCAAATTCTTTCTTAAGATATTCAATTACCTTTGGAGCTCTTCTGGAGTTCCAACAAGATTTATGTCATCAACATAAACAGCAAGTGTAACAAATTCTAATGACATTTTCTTTATAAAAATACATGGACAAATAACATCATTTATGTAACTTTCTTTCAACAAATATTCACTGAGGCGATTATATCACATGCGCCCAGATTGATTTAAACCGTACAAAGATCTTTATAATCTGATCGAGTACATTTCTCGAGACTTTGAACTATATGCTTTAGGCATTTTAAATCCTTCAGGGATCTTTATAGAGATTTAATCAAATGAGTCATATAGGTTATGACTCGCATTTAAATGGCATGACATCTTCAGGTGTCTGGACTACTGGTCCGATCCTCACAATATTTCACAGTATTGTGCACTATATTGTATCAAATATATCGTCGACGATCATTTTGTATCAGTTCCTAAGCGACATAACTTGTTGAGATCTCATCACTTTCTTTACTTTCAAGTACCTCAACTTCTTCTGGAGTTTCATGAAATGTTATGTCGTGGGCTCTTCTAGAGCTCATTTCCTCCTCATTATGATCATTTTGATCATTAGCTCCTTATCATTTTTCAAGGATTGTTACCTTTGGAACCGATTGGTCTACCACGCTTCATGCGTACAGTAAACTCTATCCTTCAGGGACTTTAAATTTTAATAGGAGCATTTGCAGCTGAAATATGATATTTGATTTTGGATCAGCAAATGCTTCTGGCATTTGACTTGAATTATCTTCTAAGTGAGGATCATATTAATGATAATTCGATTCATATAGCATATTTTTCAGTTGTTTATTCCATTCCCCAAATGTTAGAAAAACTAACATATATCCCCAATCTTCTTTGGGAAACATATCTTTGTGCATTGTGGTAGAGAAATTAATCATATACCACACATCAAAAGATAGTAAAATATTTGGTTTCTGATCCTAAACCAATTGTGAGGGGAGGACTTATCATATATTGTTGGTCTGATGCATACAAGTGCTGCTATATGCAATTTAGAAAATCTTAGACCAACACATGAAGCTTTGTTCTCATAAACAATAGTTTAGCCATTAATAGGAGGTATTCACTGCTAAACTAGCTTGTATATAAACCAGCATTATCAAGATGAACTGTCTTGATTTCATAATCTGAAAATTATGCTCTTAAGTGAGAAAAGCAATTTCAAATGCCAAACTGCAGGTTGACAATAAACATACATGTAACCATCTTATATATGCATCTATAAGTGGTTCACATGATAGGTGAATGGGCCCATATTCACCTTTTATATATTTCAGAATCAGGGGTCTTAGTCCCAACTTTAGCTGGTATAATCAATTTATTATGAGAACAAGCAACACAGGAGAATTCTTGAAGAATCTTCTAGTTCTTCAGTATATGCTTATCTGAATTCTCAAATAGCTCATTTAAAAATGGCAAATGAAAACTTCAAGTTTATCATGGCATGTGCTATCTCTTAGTAAACTTCTGGTTTACTATGACATAAACTTTTGCATTAGTAAACTTCTGATTTACTGTGGCTACTTTTGTATTAGTAAACTTCTGGTTTACCGTGATACATGATGTAGTACAAATCGAAGAATAAGGCGGGTAACTTCTCATATACATATTATTTTACCCCCTATGATTGTGGAAACATGAAGATTTTCAATCTTCCAATCATTTATAGTCTCAATATGATAGCCATTTATTTTAGTAAACTTCGGGTTTACTACAACATATGTTTTGACCATAATCATATAATATGAATGACATATTTGTAAATAAGCTCTTCGAGAGCCTTCATTTATTATCCACAATCTAATATTTATCGGACACTACTGGTGTCATGTGTCTTCTAGGCAAACACTTAGCTCTTCAGGAGTTGTTGATACATTTTGTACTATCAAATATTGCTCAGACACTTCTGGTATCATAAGAGAAAATCACAATCAAATAAACAATTGTTTAAGCACAAGAAAACTCCTCTTCATAATATTTTCCTACTTCAGGAGGCAATTTCAATTGTATTACTTCTTCAGGAGCAAATTTAAAATACGAAATATTGAGTATATATTCTCTCAATTATATTACCTCTTCTGGAGGTGAATTGTAATATATTTACATCAAGAGCGCGTTCATATTTACCAGATTTATTAATATTGTCACATTCACTTCAGGGAATGGATTATTATTATCAAAAGTTCTCATCCTTCAGGAAAATCGAACATAATTATCTGAATGCGCATTAATCACATCAAATTGTGATGCCTCAACCTCTTTTAAAATATTTACTACTTCAGGAGCAAATCGAGGCGTGCATTTAATATAGAGAATATTTATGTAGCTTATCTTCAATTGTGACCATAGAAAGCCTAAATTATCACTTCTGGTGATCATAGTCATATACCACTTCTGGTGGTTAACTTAGTTACAATGAGATATACGAAATATAACCACTTCTGGTGGTTGTATATTTCTTGCAAACTCTGCTGGAGTTTAAGTTGATCTACTAATGTTATCCATATTTTTCAAAATGACATAAATAAAATATATATAGCATAACTTTTATTTATGTACAATTACATGTTAACCATACTATCTATTACAAACAAAAATTAAAATATTTATATTTCTATAGATTCACCACCGATCACATGACTTGTTTCTCCTTCTGGGAGTGCAAAGTAATCAGCTACATCCAAATGCATGAAGTCTAAATTATCTTCAGAAATAAAATTTGCTTCAGCATTTTTCTCTGTCTTCTTTAAGGAGGCTTGATAAAGCTCAACCAGGTGTTTTGGCGTACGCCAAGTACGTGACCAGTGCCCTTTTCCTCCACATCTATAGCATGCATTTTCTGCATTTGGAGCTTGCACCGCTTCATGCTTTTGTTCCTTCCTTTTCCACTGCTGGTGGCGAGGAGGGTTCTTTGGTGCATTATTATTACCATGATTAGAGTTTCTTCCCCTACCACGGCCATGACCACGACTGGGGCCACGACCTCTTCCACGTCTAGCTTGGTGGAAGTTCGTCTCATTCACTTTAGGGAATGGACAAGAACCAGTAGGTCGGCTTTCATGGTTTTTCATTAATAGCCCATTATGTTCTCTGCTATAAGAAGATGTGAGATAAGTTCAGAATACTTTTTAAATTCCATCTCTCGATATTGCTGCTGCAGGAGTATATTCGAGGCATGAAAAGTGGTGAAAGTTTTCTCCAACATATCATGATCAGTAATGTTATCACCACATAATTTCAATTGGGAAATAATTCTGAACATAGCAGAATTATATTCATGTATAGATTTAAAATCTTGTAGCCTTAGATGAGTCCGATCATAACGTGCCTGTGGAAGAACGACCATCTTCAGGTGGTCATATCTATCTTTCAAATTATTCCACAGTATGACTGGATCTTTAATAGTGAGATATTCCATTTTCAGGCCCTCATGGAGGTGATGGCGTAGGAATATCATTGCTTTGGCACGGTCTTGATTTGATGCTTGATTTTTATCCTTGATGGTGTCTGCCAGACCCATCGCATCGAGATGAATTTCAGCATCAAGCACCCAAGACATATAGCTTTTTCCCAATATATCCAGGGCTACAAATTCAAGTTTAGAAATATTTGACATTATATAAAAAAAGAAAGTTCGTACCTTAGATACTTTCAAAGTATTTGCTCGAGATGGCAGAGTCTCGTGCTGATAACGTGTTATAAAATAAAAACTGTAAAGTAAAGACAAGTATAGAGAGAAACTGATATATTATTCGAATTCAAACTAATGTACATAATGAACTGAAATATCTTCTATTTATAGAAGAAAGGAAGCTGCTGTGTAAGCTGCTACTGCAAGCTGTTGTGTAAGCTGCTACTATACCAGATATGGATAATCTTCTACTGAGAGTAATGTTTATCCATAACGGAGTACTGAAAGGATAAGCTTATTGTACAAGGTATAGATAATCTTCTAATGGGGTAATGTTTATCCATAACGAAGTAATGAAAGAATAAGCTCATTGTACCCGGTATGGATAATATTCTACCGGGGGTAATATTTATCCATAACGGAGTATCGAAAGGATAAACTTATTATACCCGGTATGGATAATCTTCCACCAGGAGTAATGTTTATCCATAACCGAGTACCGAAGTGATAAGCTTCTTCAGGAGGCTTATTTCCAATAGAATACTAAATAGATAAACATATTTACGGCGGAGTCCCATATGGATAAGCTTCTTCGGGAATCTTATTTACAACGGAGTACTAAATGAACATCCATAATATATTTATAACACATTGCAAATTGTAACCACTCCTTCATTCTGATTGGTCCAATTGGGAGGTGCTATCGTCTATATAAAGAGAGCTTTGGCTCTCATTTCATCACACCAATCTCAGAGCAAAATATTTCTGAGTGTTAGAGAGCAGTGTGAGGTATTCACAGGCAGTGTAGCCTATGAGGGAAAATAGAGAGTGTGAGCGATATTGTAGTGAGGTGGGAATCTTAAAAGAGTGTTATTTCTTTTGAGTGTGTAGTGGTTCCTAGAGTATTTTACTCGGACTATTGGGTGTAAAATTCTTCATTATAGTGGATTACTTTGCTCCTTTCGGGCTCGTGATTTTTTCCCTTATTCAGAAGGGTTTTCCACGTTAAAAATCTTTGTGTCTTTGTTGTTCCTTTTTATTCTTGTTGGTTACCGTATCTCGGTACTATATTATTGTTCCGTTGTTATTACCGTGAATATTATTTTTGTGGGGTTTTTATTTCTAACAACTGGTATCAGAGCATAGGTTTTGGTCGTTCACAAAAGTAATATTCACTATCGGTAGTACTATACTCGGTGAAAAAAAATGTCCAGAGTAAAGTATGAGGTAGCAAAATTCAACGGAGATAGCGGTTTCTCAACATGGCAAAGAAGGATGAGAGATCTGCTCATCTAACAAGGTTTACACAAAGTACTAGATACTGATGTCAAAAAGCGTGATACCATGAAAGCTGAGGATTGGGCTGACTTGGATGAAAGGGCTGCTAGTGCAATCAGGTTGCACTTATCATATGATGTGGTAAATAACATCATTGATGAAGACATCGCATGTGGCATTTGGACAAGGTTGAAAAGCCTATACATGTCCAAAACGCTGACAAATAAATTGTACCTGAAGAAGCAGCTATACGCCCTACAAATGGGTGAAGGTACGAATTTTTTGTCACATTTAAATGTGTTTAACGGACTAATCACATAGCTCGCCAATCTCAGAGTGAAAATCGAGGAAGAAGATAAAGCCATCTTGCTATTGAACTCGTTGCCATCTTCATACGATAATTTGGCAACAACCATCCTGCACCGTAAGACTACCATCGAGTTGAAAGATGTCGCATCGGCTCTTCTACTCAATTGAGAAATTGAAAAAGAAGCCCGAAAATCAAGGACGGGCTCTCATCACAGAAGGCAGAGGCAGGAGTTATCAAAGGAGTTCGAGCAACTATGGTAGATCCGGAGGTCGTGGGAAGTCCAAGAACCGATCTAAATCCAAAGTCAAAAATTGCTACAATTACGATCAACCAGGTCACTTCAAAAGAGATTATCCAAATCTAAGGAAGGGCAAAGGTGAAACCAGTGGCCAGAAGAATGACGACAACACAACTGCCGTGGTGCAAAACAATGATAATGTTGTTCTCTTCTAAATGACGAAGAGGAATGCATGCATTTGGCAGGTCCAGAGTCAGAATGGGTGGTTGACACAACAACATCTTATCATGCCACACCGGTAAGAGATTTTTTTTGCAGATATGTAGCAGGTGATTTCGGCACAATGAGAATGGGTAACACAAGTTACTCAAAGATTGCGGGGATTGGTGACATTTGTATCAAGACAAATGTCGAATGCACATTGGTTCTAAAAGACGTACGGCATATACCTGATTTACGGATGAACTTGATCCCGGGAATCGCTTTAGACCGAGATGGATACGAGAACTATTTTGCAAATCAAAAGTGGAGACTCACCAAGGGATCATTGGTGATTGCAAAGGGAGTTGCTCGTGGCACGTTGTACAAGACAAATGCAGAAATATGCCGAGGTGAATTAAACGCGCCACAATATGAGATTTCTGCAGATTTGTGGCACACCAGAATGGGTCATATGAGCGAGAAGGGATCGCAGATTCTTGCTAGAAAATCACTCATTTCTTATGCTAAAGGTACAACGGTAAAACCTTGTGACTACTGCTTATTTGGTAAGCAGCATAGAGTCTCATTTCAGACATCGTCTGAAAGAAAATTGAATATACTTGATTTGGTATATTCTGATGTTTGTGGTCCAATGGAAATTGAATCGATAGGCGGTAACAAATATTTTGTTACTTTAATTGATGATGCTTCACGAAAATTGTGGGTTTATATTTTGAAAACCAAAGATCAGGTGTTTCAAGTTTTCTAGAAGTTTCACGCTCTGGTGGAAAGGGAGACGGGTAGAAAGCTAAAACGTCTCATTCGAAAACGACAATGGAGGTGAGTACACTTCAAGGGAATTTGAAGAGTGCTGTTTAAGTCATGGGATAAGACATGAAAAGACAGTTCCTGGAACCCCACAGTACAATGGTGTAGCTGAGAGAATGAATCGCACAATTGTTGAGAAGGTGAGATGCATGCTTAGAATGGCTAAATTGCCTAAGTCGTTCTGGGGTGAAGCAGTTTAGACAACCTGTTACCTGATCAATAGGAGTCCATCAGTTCCATTGGAGTTTGACATCCCAGAGAGAGTTTGGACCAACAAAGAGGTGTCTTACTCACATATGAAGATGTTCGGTTGCAGAGCTTTTGCACATGTACCAAAGGAGCAGAGAACAAAGCTGGATGATAAATCTATTCCCTGCATATTCATCGGATATGGAGATGAAGAGTTCGGGGTACAGATTGCGGGATCCTGTAAAGAAGAAGGTCATTAGAAGCAGAGATGTAATCTTCCGAGAAAGTGAAGTTGGAGTTGTTGATGATCAGTCAGAGAAAGCCAAGAATGGTATAATTGCTAACCTTGTTACCATTCCTTCTACTTCTAATAATCCCACAAGTGCAGAAAGTAGGACCAACGAGGTTGCCGAGCAAAGGGAGAACCTGGTGAGGTTATTGAGCAAGGGGAGCAACTTGATGATAATGTCGAGCAAGTGGAGTATCCCACTCAGGAAGAAGAACAACCTCAACCTATAAGGAGATCAGAGAGGCCAAGGGTAGAGTCATGCAGGTACCCTTCCACAGAGTATGTCCTCATCAGTGATGAGGGGAAACCAAAAAGTCTTAAGGAGGTGTTGTCCCATCCAATAAAGAACCAGTGGATGAAAGCCATGCAAGAAGAGATGGAATCTTTACAGAAAAATGGCACGTACAAGTTGGTTGAACTTCCAAAGGTAAAAGACCACTCAAACGCATATGAGTCTTTAAACTCAAGAAAGAATGGCAAACTGGTCAGATACAAAGCTCGATTGGTGGTAAAAGGCTTCAAACAGAAAAAAGGTATTGATTTTGACGAAATTTTCTCACATGTTGTCAAAATGACTTCTATTCGAACAATCTTGAGCTTAGCAGCTAGCCTAGATCTTGAAGTGGAGCAGTTCGACGTGAAAACTGCATTTTTTCACGGAGATTTGGAAGAGGAGAACTATATGGAGCAGCCAGAAAGATTTGAAGTAGTTGACACATGGTGTGCAAACTGAATAAGAGTCTTTATGGGTTGAAGCAGGCACCAAGACAGTGGTACAAGAAGTTTGACTCATTCATGAAAAGTCAAACTTACATAAAGACATATTCTGATCCACGTGTATACTTCAAAATATTTTCTGACAATAACTTTATTATTTTGTTATTGTATATGGATAACATGTTAATTGTAGGAAAATACAAGGAGCTGATTTCAAAGTTGAAGGAAGACTTATCTAAGTCCTTTGAAATGAAGGACTTTGGCCCAGCACATCAAATTATGGGAATAAAGATTGTTCGAGAGCGAACAAGCAGAAAGTTGTGGTTGTCTCAGGAGAAGTACATTGAACGTGTACTGGAACGTTTCAATATGAAGAATGCTAAGCCAGTCAGCACATCTCTTGCTAGTCATCTGAAGTTGAGCAAGAAAATGTGTCCTACAACAATGGAGGAAAAGGAAAGCAGGACCAAGCTTCATTATTACTCTGCCGTCGGAAGTTTGATGTATGCAATAGTATGCACTCGACCTGATATTGCTCACGCAGTTGGTGTTGTCAGCAGGTTTCTTGAAAATCCTGGGAAAGAACACCGGGAAGCTGTCAAGTGGATACTCAGGTACCTGAGAGGTACCGCAGGAGATTGTTTGTGCTTTGGAGGATCTGATCCAGTCTTGAAGGGCTATACATATGCAGATATGACAGGTGACAATGATAATGGAAAATCCACTACTGGATATTTGTTTACATTTTCAGGGGGAGCTATATCATGGCAAGTGTGTTGCACTCTCTACAACTGAAGCGGAATACATTGCCGCTACTGAAGCTGGCAAGGAAATGATATGGTTGAAACAGTTCCTTCAAGAGCTTGGCTTGCATCAGAAGGAGTATGTTGTCTATTGTGACAGTTAAAGTGCAATAGACTTGAGCAAGAACTCCA